CAGGGACTGGTGTCTTCTCCTGCAACACCCCGAGGAGCTCTGGGACAGCTGGGATTGGAGTTGAGGAGGTGAACGCTGCAGGTGTACAGCCCCAGGCTCTCCCTCTGAGCTTGTGCTGCCCCACAAAATTGAAATTCAAGGAGAACCCTGACATCATCGACCTTCTTCCAGGGGGAAAACACAGCCATGGTCTCCAGGTGTGGGCAGGAGCCCCTGAGGTGCCATGCCTGGAGGTCCCTGCTGGCTCCCAGCCCGGGCTGTCCTGAACTAAACGCCGGGCTCTTGAGGCTATTTATGTCTTGTCAGCTCGCAGCCAGAAGCAATTTAATCTTGGCTGAGCGCTGCTGAAAAGGAGCTGCTGGGCCCCGGTGCTTCGTTCGAGATGATAAAGAGTTGATAGAAAAACAAATTACGGCGATGGCAGCTCAGACGCCGTTAATCAACCTCCCCGCAACAGCGCGGTGTGAATAATTAATAATCGTCGTTAGGGAGGATTTAAGGGCGGCTCGGGGTGAAGGGGCTGCGTGGGATCAGGGCGGTGGGTTGCGGGAGATGCTCACGATGCTCTGCAAGAGTCGGTGATTCTCCAGAGGTCCTCAAAATGTTCAGAACGTGGTGTTACCAGCTTGGGCGCACTCGAAATGTATTTTATATCTCCACCTCCGCAAGCTACAGGTTGCAAACTCCTGGGAGGAGGGCGCGTGGCTTGGAAGGATGGAGAAGCTTTTCTCCCACTAAGATTTCAAAAACAAGCGTGGGCTCTACCTGGAACTGCAGGGTAGAAATACTTCTTCCTTTTGGGAAGAAACACTGAATCTCCTCCTGGCTTTGAATAGTGACTGGGGGTTGTTTTTTTTGGTAGTTAATCACAGGCTTGCTGAGGGGTTGAGGTACTGGTTGCCTGCGAAGCCTGGCATTGTTCACACCTGCTATTTTTAAAATGGTTCGTTCTCCTGCTGAGCTTTATTTTGCTTAACCACTTGTGAATTTTCTAGTAAAACCCTCGCTAATTACCCTGCTGTCACTGTTGCTGATGGTAAAACCAAGGGAGATGTAAATACAGTGGTGGGAATGAAGATGTGCACTAAGAAACCTGCTTCTGTTACCTGCAACGTGAAAGAAAATGAGAATATAAGAAAATGTCCAAAATAATGATCTGGAACAGTAAATAAGGATGGGGGGGGGGGATGGGATGCTGACCCAGCATCACAGCTTAGGTCCAGGGCTCCCTCCCCAGAGCAGGGCTCCATCAGCGAGCTCCAAGGTGTCTGTGCAATTAAAGCAAGGTTGTTTCTGGGCTCTGCCAGCTGGAATTCCTCCAGGTCAGGATTTTAGTGAATATTTGGCCAGGCTGGACGAGGCTTGAAGCAATCTGGTCTAGTGCAAGGTGTCCGTGCCCATGGCAGGGGGTTAGAATGAGATGAGATTTAACATCCCTTCCAACCCAAACCACACTGGGATTCTGTGATATTTGGGATGAAAATGTTCACTGAAATTCCAGAACTGGAGCCTGAACAGATGCTCTCTTGACAGGATAGAGGAGTCTCCAGGGAGAGCATCCCTGCCTGCATGCCTGTGCCTGCTTCCTGCCTGCAAATCTGGCACCATGGCCCCTGCAAAACCCCCAACCATCCCTGCCCTCTCTCAGTGATGGATTGGAATCCATTCCCTACTCTGCTCTGCAGGTCAGGGAATCCTCCCCCACTTAGTGTTTCCTCTCCTTCGGTGCCCCTTTCTGGCTGTCACCAACACCAAGGTTGGCCCAGCCCCAAGCTCCAACTGGGTTCTGAGCTGACAGAAAAAAAAGAAAAGAAAAAAAAAGGAGGGGGAGAAAAACTGATTTACATATTTTTCCAGACTGCTGGTGATCAGAGCACCCAGATTTCCGTGCTGCAAGTGATCCCCAGCTTCGGGCTGGGCTTGTTACCCCTCCTGGTGGTGGGTCGCCAAGCCCACCACTGCTGCCACGGGGCAGCCTCGGGAGAGACAAGGGAGAGACAAGGGAGTGGGTTTAGGACAAAGCAGTGCCTCATTACTGAGTTTGGAGGCACAGCCACGCGTCGGAGGGGATTTGCAGGCAGCGGCTTTGAGGAGCCCGCGGGCTGCTCGCCGGGCTGGAGCTTTTGCTTCAACCCCAGGAGGCCCAAAGATGCACGAAAGGTTTGGATTTCAGGGCCTGAAGTGGGGCAGAGTGTGTTTTAACTCCTTGTGTCCCCAGAAACGTGAGATCTTAGATGGATTAACGCCGTGTGCTGCCTGAGACGGTGGCACTGTGGGACGCAGGGGGTGGGGGACGGCACCGTCTCTCACTTGGCCGGGGTGTGATGGGAGCAGGAATGGGATGCGTGAGGAGCAGCTTGTGGCTCTGCTGCTCCTTATCACATCAGCTGGTGGGAATTAATGAGCTGGGGTGGGGGGAGCCACTGCACTCTCACTCTTCCCCCCCAGATTGGGCTGAGATCCCAATCCTGGTAGAGTCCTTATAAATTGCTGAGATGCCTGGGCTGGTGACAAGGGAGAGCAGGGGGATGACAGGAGGTGTGTGGGGTGGGGTTGTTGGGAGGTAAGAGGGACATGGAGGACATAGAGGTGTCTTAGATGGTTAATCCCTCTTTTGGTGACCTGGCCTGGGGTCTGTGAACCCGAGCGAAGCTGTCCCCCGTGGCACCATGCTGGGCAGGGATGCTGGGATGGTTTCACCCTGTGCAGGATCCTCTGGTGCTGCTGGGTGTCCTCCCAGAGAGCCTGGCACCACTGTGGCACTGCTGTGACATGGTGGCATCTGTGGTGTGGGGGGACACACTGGGGACAGGGAAGAGGCAGCTGTGATGGGGATGTGGGGGGGACACTAAATCCCCGGATTGGTCTCCCTCATCTGGGACCAGTTTGGGATGTGGGGGTGTGCTGGGATGAAATCTCTTCCATCTGGGCTCTCAGCACTGAGCTGGGCCATGGGGACGAGGTGGGGTGACAGGGACATGGCTGCAGCCCTTCCCACCTTCCCTCCCATCCTCACTCGCTCCCAGCAGGTATCTGAGTCCCCCGCTGTGACAGAGGGTCCCAGGCACACATCTGTGTCTAGTGGGGGACACGTGGCCCCCGTGGGGAAGGAAACCATCACCATCACCCTCCACGGAGCCAGCAACCTGCCAGCCACACGAGAGGGTCAGGTGCCGTGGCCGTACGTTGTTGTGTGAGTATCCAGCACCGGCCAAGGGGGAACAACAGGGGTCATGGGGACACAGAGAAAGGGTTTGGGAGCTGCCACCCTCTTCATGAGCCCTAGGGAGGGGGGAAACCTCTCTGGCATCACCTCTGTGAGATGCAGGGAGACAAACCAGGACTCCTTGCTGCGGTGGGGGAAGGCAGGCACAAGGCACTCGGGCTTGCTGGGGTGTCAGGAAGAAAGCGTTCCTAATATTGAAAGTATAAAATGATGTCAAAGAATCCACAGGGTAATGCTGCCTGGGTTTGGGAATGATATCACAATAAATAAAATAGTGTTTTAATAAATAAAACAGGATGTTGGGTAAGGAGGACTTGGCTCCTCGTGCATTATGCATGTGCCAGGGGACTCAATTAGCCGGTCAGGCTTTGGTCTGTGGTAAGAGGGAGGCCGCCCTGCTCAGCACCACCATCCCAGAGGCAGAGGGGCTTCTCTTCCCTGAAAAAGAGGGGAGAAAGCAGCTGTCAGTGCCTTCAGAGCATCATCTGGCTGCCGAGCTTGGTTTTTGCAGGGCATCTCCCCAGGGCAGTGCCGGGCAGGCTGGTACCCAAGTGCATCCATCAGTGCCAAGGGAACAAGGCTGCAGGGTTGGGGCTCATCCACTGGGAACAATCAGCAGCCAGGACTGTGAAAGCCTGGAAACATCTCGTGTCAAGCAAACTGTTGCTTGCTGGGTGTTTTCCAGAGTAGAAACCCTGTTCTCTGTGGTGAACGGGGTCCCAGGGTCTGTCACTGGGACAGAGTTGCCCAGTGCCAGCCCCATCAGGCATCCCAGGCACTCCCTGGGCAGGGGGGATGCGGGACTCCATCATCAGGATTTTGGCAGCTGGGACTGGCTGTCATGTGAGCCGGGAGCCTCCACTGCCAGCCCTCTATCACCCCATCCCCTCTTCCCCAACCCCCCCACGCCAAGGACCTGCTCTCTGCCCCGACAGCCTGAGTAACTCTGCGGCAGGAGTTGTCTCTATTTCCATAAACCAATTATACCCAGATGATCTCCGGAGATTTAAACATCAATATCCTAAATGATAGCACGAGGGTGGCGTGTGATTGTTGCATCTCTCTTTACATTCTGGTGCTGCTCCATCACCGCATTGCCATGGTAACAGGAGAGTGATGGAAGGGAGAGGAGGGGGGTATTAGGGATGCAGGACACATGAGGGGCCTTTTAGTAACCATAGTGAGGGAGCCAAGGCAGAAGGGAATCACTGATTGTTTTTCAGGGCACTTGCTTTTTAAGGAGAGTAGCATGTTGCAGTTAAAAGGTGGGGTTTTATGGAGGGGAGGGAGAAGTGGGAAAGGGATGTGCTGGTGGCGGGTCTGGTGGCATCCAATCCTCCCAGTACAGCCGGGTGGTAACCAGTGGAGCCATCCCAAGCTCAAAGCGCCGGCACACAGAGCATCACCCCACAGAACGATGTGATCCAAGTGGCATGGAAGGGAGGGAGGGAGCAGCACCGCTGCCCTCTGTGGCTGTGCCCAGTCGCTTGTGCCTGGACTCAGCATTCCGCAGCGCTCCGCAGTTGTGTGCATCACTTCCAGAGATTTGGGGAGGGACAGGTTTAGCAGAGCGAACCTGAAAGGAGCCTTGAGGAGCAGGAGATTCCAGACAGGGGCTTTGGCTCAACCTGCCCCAGAGAAAGCCTCCTCCTCCGCGGATGCTCTGGGGATCTGACAGCACCTTGGCTCTGCTGCTCACCCTCTGAACACCCAGAAAATCTTCCCTCCCTGCTTTCAGGGGCACCGGTGGGTTTGTTCTGCATCTCCCTTTCAGTCCCTCGTGCTCACAGATAAATTGCTGTCGGACCGGCAGGATGCAGGGATGACCTTGGCGTGCGGGAGCCAGGCGTGTTTGCAATTAACGGCACAAAGCGCCTGGCCCCGGCCGGCTTCTCTCCGCTGAGTACCACGGGCGGGTGAAAGGACCTCCTCGCTCACTCCTTTCTGCTCTTCAGCGCCCAGAGAAGCAACTCAAGGTCGCTGCTGAATGCACCAGCTGCTCCCAGGCTGGGGGAGGGAGGCTCCGCTGTCCCCCTGTCCGTGGGTTCACCTGTGAAGGCAGCGGTCCGGGTCCTGGTGCCACGGGATGATCTCAGAAACGGCGTTCCTGCAAGTAAAACCTTTGGCCCTGGCCAAAATGAAAACGGGGACTCAGCTGATAAACCCAGAGCACGGTGTGGGGTGTGAGATCAAGCGCTCCCTCCTCGCCGCAGCATCCCGGTGGGATGAAGATGGAACATCCCAGGGTTAGAAGGTCGGGAGGAATCTAACAACTGGGATATCAGCCCCGAGAAATAGCTCACCCTGTAGAGATAATAACTTATAACACCGGATAAATAAACATCCTGAAGGCTGGGCATAGCCCTGCCGAGCCCTTTGCTGGGCACCCTGGTGTCACAGCAGCGGGGTGGCTGCGTGCTGCCGTCCCCGAGCACCGCAGCCGAGACGTTGATGGGTAATAACTCCCCGGGGGCGGCCGTCTTTATCTTTTATCTTTATCTTTTATCGCAGCGGTGGGCGGATGGTGCATCCCCGCACGCACGGCAGAGCCAAGTGCCTGCCCCGGAGCCGACAGGGAGGGATGCAGAGCATCGGAAGAGCAGCTCTTGGTGCATCCCAGCCATGTCCTGCCCTGAGGTGTGCGACCTCATGTCTGCAGACCCCGCTCCTGCCCCTCCAGTGCGTCTGGAGCTCGCTGGGGGGAGGAGAAAACATGAAACCCTCTGTGCTCTCCACCGTTCCCGCTGCCCCCGGCCTATTCATTTGGTTTTTGAAGCACACCCCTGTGCTTTGCACAATTGTGGGCTGTTTTCCTCCCCCTCCCCACTTCACAGCTCTTTTTGAATGCTCTCCCGTCCTTAGGCAAGTCTATAATGAAGGGGGGCCAGTTCTCACCCTGCTGCTCGTCCTCCCACCCGCCCCTCCCCAGCCAAGGTTTGGCTTCATTCGGACTCCGAGCACGTTGCTGGGAGAGCAATCCCCCACAGAGCTCATTACTGGAGAGCCAAGTTTTTTCCGGCCCCTCCTCAACAGTGCCAGCCTGATGGCAATTCCCACCTCCCAAAGCTGGCCAGCTCCATCCCTGTGGGGTGCAGATGGGCTTTGCTGGTGGGGAACGGGGACACGTGGGAGATGAGAAACGAGCACGGGATGTGGATGCAGAGCATGGCTGAGGGCCCGCTAGACCAGTCTCTTCAGCAAGGAGAGGGAATGGAGGTCTTGCCACCATCCTCCCATCCATCTGGGATGAACCTGCTCGGTCCCACCAGGAGCTGCAGGAAGAGCTTTCCTTGGAGGAGCCAGCACCAGACACTTCATCACCTTAATATCCAGAGCAGCCCGTTCAGAGGGCTGGGATGTCTGTGTCACAATGGGATGTCACCATCCCCTCTCACCCCATGGGTGGGGATGCAGGGACTTGAGGTCACCACGTCGCCAGGCAGTGGGACACCAAGTGTCTCACTGGGGCAGTGGAGACCCTCCAAAAGATCTTCCAGCCCCACTAAAAGTGTGTGGGGGATTGTTATAATTATCCAAGCTAATGAGTAATTGATGATTAATTGATAAAAGTGGGAGGAACAACCCCAAAACATCCCTGATGGTGACACCAGCACAGATGAAGAATTACCCAGGTCTGTAGCAGTGAACACAACCATAATTACTGCTCAGCATTGTTATGTGCCGAGCCTAATGATGACAGTCGTTAACATTCAATCTTCTCTCTCTTTTCCCAGCAGCATCCTCCCTGTCCCTTCATCAATACTGTGGATAATTAGCCTCCGAGGTCTGAAATAGCCTTTCGGACAAAAGGGGCTGCAAACCCCATCACCTGGGGGCTCGGCAGGATCCAGGAGTAAAAGCGGCACAGAATCCCGGGCAAAGCCCCCCCCGAGCCGGGGCAGAGCTTTGCTGAGGGCTGGATGCTGCACCGAGCAGGGCAGGTGCTCATCCCTCTCCCAGGTTCCTGCTGCCGCCGCATTCCCCGCCTGTTTTCCTCCTTTTTCCTCACAGTAAGACCAGTGGAGGGGCTGAGCAGAAGCCGGAGGCGTCCCGTGCATCCTCAGCGCCCACCCACGCACCCACCTGGGAGGAGGAGGTGATGGTGGAAATGGATGCCGAGGATGCAGCCTGGGCAGGTGAGGGCATTGGAGGACCATGGGGACAGGGATGCTGGGGACCAGGACATGGGACTCATTCCTCAAAGGGTTAATTGGGGGATATCAGGGAGTCCAGGCTCCGCAGGACCCCAGGCGGAGGGAATGAGCCATATCTTGAGCTCATGGCTGTGGTGCCTGCAGGATAGGACTGGGAGGGACATGCCCAGAGTGGAACAAGTCATAACACTCTGGGCAGCCTCCAAAGTATCCAACGGGAATCAGCATCAGAGGGGAAACACCCCAAATCTTTCCCCACTGCCATCCCTCACCTTGTATCATTTGGAGCCACATCCTGATGCTGTTACTCCCCACGCAGGGCTGCCAAATCTGTAACTGTGATAAAACTCATGGAATTAGGGGCCAGGATTTGATTATAAAATCAGCTCCTTACAAAACAAACCCTGGGAACCAATCTTCACGTCGTGCCTAATCCCTTTGGGCCCTGACCTCAACAAAATTGAGGAGATTTTGATGTACTTTTTGCCCCGTGCGGGATCATGAGAAATTCAGGGAGACCTGATGGGGCCTCTGAGTCTGCTCCTCCACCTCCCAGCACCTCCCAGATGTTTGGCCATGTTCATCCCCCAGATGTTCATCCTAGAGCTGACATCCCCAGGTGCAGCTCGCAGCTTTTCTTCCCCAGCAATACAGTTTCCATCCTTTTATTTCCCAGAAATCCAAGTGTGATCCATCATTGGTGATGACAGGCAGAAAAGCCACTTGTGTCTCGCTCAACCCCAGAACATTTTCTCCGGTGCTTCTTCCACGAGGAGCCGGGAGAAAAGGAAAATTTCCATATAAATGGAGCACTTGCTGTAAAGCACAAGCTCAGGAAAGCGTGGACCTTGCCACCTTCATCTTCGTTTTGGGGACGGGCACAACCTGTGGCGTTCCCAGGTTGGCCAAGCAGGAGTTAAGGCGGGTGCCTCGGCACAGTCATTAAGCTGGGGGAAGGGAGGCCCAACTCTTGATGGCAGCATAAAGAGAGGGCGGTTTTCCCTTCCATCAACTCCTTTTTTCTTTTTTTTTTTCTTTTCTTTTTTCCCCATAAAAGGCTCCTACTCCGGCTTGTCAAATAAATTGCAGCTTTGCTCTAATTTAAGGGAAGAACTGGGGGTGCCAGAATCCGTGGGGTGATGCTGCCGTGCCAGGGGGCAGATGGGGACTAGACATCACTGAGAGGACTGATTTCAGGGTGGACCCTAGGGCAGGGAGGGCTCAGGGCAGGATGGAACCCTGGAAGCTGAGGAGGGAGGGCTGGAGGCAGGGAGGTGGATTAGATGGATCAGTAGGAAATCCTGGATTCTTAGATGGGAATCTGAGCTGTGTTGGTGCCAGCTTTGCTCTCCTGGAATTGCCTGGGACCTGTTCTTCACGGCTCCCTGGGATGCACATGTGTGTGTTTATTATCCCAGTCTGGGTGTAAAGCCGCTCCTGTCCACTCCACCCTGGCCTTGTGAGGGGAAGGGCCTGCTGAAAATTAACCTGTCCATAGTCTCTGTCCCTTCTTCACCCGGATCTTTCCCCAAAACTCTCCCCCAAACCCCTTCTCTTTCCCAAACCCTGCTCATCCTGACAGCTGACCCTCTCCCTTCCAGTGCTGACCCTCACTGTGGCAGACAAACCTACTAAGGAGGCACTGGGGACATTCCAGCTGCCAGTCCGGCATCTCCAGCCCTTCCAACCCCACCACTGCAGGCTGGTGCTGGTAGGTACAGCACGAGCCCCTCCGTCCTGCTCCTTATTCCTGCTTACAGTTTGATTTGCACCACCTGCGGCTGGGGGCTGTGGGCAAAGGGAGCCTTGTGTAATGCCATAATACCGGTGGGAAAACCGCATTTGGCAAGTCAGGGAAGGTGCTCAAAGAGGCTTGTGAGCTTCCTGCGAGGGGGGGAACAAGGCAAGCGTTGTGCTGGGCTCAAATGTGGTGGAAAAGTGATGGGATTGCAAGCTGGGAAGTGCTTTCACTCTCAGGATCCTGGGAAGGAGATGCAGGGCGGGACATTCATGAAACACGGGCTGCAGTGCATTAATTCATGCAGGCAGGTACCCAGCCCCAGAGAATCAGCTTCCTGAAACCCTCCACGGGCATTTCTCCAACCCAGGCTTGGCCAGCAGCGCCCTGTGCAGCTGAGGCCTGGTAAACTCACTCCACTGCTCCTCCAAAATCAAACTCCCCTATGCTCAGGCTGGCAGAAACGAGCTTAGAATCATAGCTTACCCTTCCCCACATAGATTGGGAACGATGAAATATTTAAACACAGAAGGATTTATTATATTGATCTTTTCCGGGAAGGCCCAGGGGGCCAGCGAGCTTTAATTACCAGTTGGTGCTTTATTGCCAGCCATGGGCTGTCTGTGCCCAGTGTCTGCATTTTGTGGCCTTGATCTTTCTCCTCCCATGCTTTGCTCCACTCCACACACAGCCAAGGAGGCAGGACTCTGTGGGAGTGGTCCTGCACGTCACCATCACCCGCAGAAAGAGCTTCATCCCTCGCTGTGACGGACTGAGCTACGTGGCCTTGGAGGTGAGAGGTGGCCTTGGGGACAGGAGGTGGCAGGGAGCTGTGCAGGGGCTGGGATGCTGCTGCACCTTGTCTCCTTCTCTGGCAGCTCTTTCCCCTCCCCACATTCTCTGGTCCCCTCACCACGGGCCCTCAACCTCCCAAGGTGCTGCTTCGGGGACTGTCACCCCCCCTGACCTCCCCACCCAGGACCCTCATTGCTGTGGCCAGAGTTGTGACCAATGTCCAGGAGTACAAGTGAGTGATGGTTGGGGATCTGCTGGTGGCACAGAAGGGGACAACCTGAGCATCCCTGGTGCCATCGCGTCCTCCCACGGCGCTTGGTTCGCTGGGGCAGATGTGACCCCACACACTCTAACCTTTCCATCACTCCTCAGGCATCGCATGGAGAAGCATCCCATCCCTCATCCTGGCATCAGCCCCACCACCATTCTGTTCCCAGACCCTCCAGCAGCCGCCTTTAGCATCACCCGAGCCGCCAACCACGGCTGCCCTCAGGTACGAGGCCAAGCAGTGCCCATCCCGCCCGGGTACCAATGAGCACCCCTCCTTCAGCAGGGGAGCCGAGCACCCCACACAGGAAAAGCTTCAGGGGCAAAACGGTGCCTTGAGCGTCAGACACTGATCCTCACATCCAGAAACCCACAGGCAGCTCCTTGTCTGTTCCTTTGTCCTTCGCTTTTTCCCTCTGCTCGGCTCACGCCTCCGGCTCGAGTGCCGCCTCTCGAAGGCAGCGACCTTCTCCTCCCCGGGCCTCAAGTACCGCGACGCACATCTTCAAAATAGCTGTTGCCAGGGAAACATCCCCTTTCCACACACAGCATCGTCACTGGCGAGCGAGGGGAGGGCCCCGCTTTTGTTCCCGAGCCCTGCCAAAAAATTGGCAAGGAGGGAGGGATGCTGGGGCAGGGAGGAGGCGGGATGGAGCAGCCGAGCCAGGAGCCAGCTTGTAGCCTGCCACTCCTCAAAAGCAGAGCTGCTGCATCCTTTCACCTCTGCGAAGTGCCAGCCGAGGGCAGATGTCCGGCTGCACCCAGAGGAGGGATCCAGCTGGCCCCCAACGCCAGCGGAGCACGCGCCTTTCTCTGGCTGGATCCTCTTCCCCCGTGCATGGAATTTTGATCTGCTCGGAGCGAAAACGCCCTGGATCAACACATTCGGGGAGCCCATAAATAAAATATCATGGAGAGGAGGCTGGCCAAATGCCAAGTCACCCGTGAGGCGCTGAATTATCATGAAAATCAATAGTGTGTTTCATTCAGTACAATAATTATTGGTTTATCCCTCCCCCCCTTCCCCTCCCCTCTGCCTTCCTGGGTTCCTCTTGCAGGTGAGAGATGGAGGCAGCACTGGGACCCTCCACTTTGGGTCTGCATCCCTAGCCCCACCATGGCAATGGATTCAGGGTGTGAGTCACCCCCATCAACTCCAGAGCAGATATAGGAAGGAAATCCCTATCTGCTACCCAAGATACTGGATATCTTCCCTCTCCAATCTTTGCAACCCTGAGGCTGCTGTTGCCCAGGGATATTTGTCTCTTATAAAGGCAGCCAAAATGCATTTATTTTTGATTTACAGGGATAACTACAAACACAGCCCCCCATAAAGTTTTGGGATCCATGCGCTGGGTCCAAGCCCCACATCCCTGGTGCTGCTGCCAGCGCCAAGCGGTGGGAGCCCAACATGGGAGGACGAGTGATTAAACCTGGCCATCTGGCCTGTGTGCTGCCTCCTCCTCCTCCTCCTTTTCATCCTCCTCCTTCTCCTCCTTCCCTCCGTGCCCACAGGGCTCAGTCTGCCTTGGCACATTCCCAAGGATGCTCTTCCTGGGGAACTGCGTGACTCCCATCTCCTGCCTCAGTTTCCCTACCTGTAGGATGTGCTTCCCTCACGGAAGGATGAACTCTTAAGGCCTGGGAGGAAATGTTAGGGGAAGGCTGGGGGGAGGAGGAGGAGGAGGAGGAGGAGGGAGCATTGTTGCTCCAGTTCCAGAGGTTAATGGCTTTCCCTGAGTGAACTCCTGGGCGGGCTAATCGGATTCGATAATTCTGCCAGCCCTGTGTGTCCTCTCGCCTGTCGGTTCCCATCAGCGTCTGCAGCCAACAGCACTTGGGTTCACCTTCAGAAGGGCACCCCTCTCACTCCTTTTGGGTTCCCAGGTCACTAGCCCTTCTCTGCCTGGCCAGGGCTCCTGGAGACTTGGTCTTCCTGGCCAGGACTCAGCTGAGACCTGCACAGAGCCACCTGCAAGAGTGTTGGGTGCTCTGCTCTCCTTGGGTGCTCCCATTGGGCCAACATCCTCTTTGTCACCAAAGGGATTGCCACACTGGTGGCAATGGCAAATCCATGGGGCCTCCTACAGGAAGCCACGCTGTGTCTGTCCTCCGAGGCCCAAGCTCAAACCTTTGTGATGTTGGTCCCCTCTAAGACAAAACCTCCTTTGGGGCTATTTTCCTTGGGAATTCTCCAGCTTAAGCTACTTAACTAGAGCTTCTCTCTCTTGTCTGTGGACTGCAGCATCCAGACAGGCATCTATGAGGAGCAGGGACGGCCTCATCCCTTGGGAAGGCAGGAGAGAGGCGGTAGGCTTGGCCACCTCTACCCCTGCTCGTGCCAACGATGCTGCCTTTGAACCAGCCGTTGGGAGAAGAGCTGGGGCAGCCAGAAAGGATGAAGGTGTCTCCTTCCTCCTCCTCCCCATCCCCTTTGTTGTGTTTCTGCAGGTGGCCCTTTGGCAGGGTTGGTTGTTGTGGCAGGATGTCTGTCCAAATCAGTGCATTGGCTCTGACGCCCCGGCACAGAGCATCCATCTGTCCCGCCGAGCCGGTGGGAGACAGCCCAGCCCCAGAAAGCACCCTGCACCCTGCCCCCACCTCTAAAATTGGCAGGGGGGGAAATCAGGAACGTCATCTCCCATCCCTCTCCTGATGAGAGGAGCCATGTGGGCTCAGGACCTCCAACAATTGGGGTCAAATTAGCAATATGCTCCCACATTTGACTTTTCCCTTCCCTGCTGAGGCACCATCTCTGGTACCTTCTACAGGTCGATGCCAGGAAGAGTAACTGGCATTTTGTGGTTTTGAGATTTTCCCCCAAAACTGGGCTCTCTGATGCTGACAAAACAGCCCCGTTTTGGGGGAGGGCCGGAGGGTGCTGAGCTGGATCCGGCTGCTGTGAGCTGCTCCAATCCATGTGCATTTTCCTAAGGACTTCCAGGCACAGCCTGTGCTCCCAGCAAGCTGTGTCCCAGCTAAAAAATCCCCAAGGAGCCCCTGACAAACTCCTGAATGAGAGAGCCAGCCTGGTGCTGAGCCAGCACTAACAGCACTGCCTGATGCAGCCCGCCGTGGAGGATTTTTCAGGCTCTGAAGCATCCCAACCCCACATTCCCCACGCTAACACCTCCCAAGGCTGGATAATGCACCTCTGCGGCTCTCCGAGGTGCATAATGCCCATTAGCATCCCAAAACGTGAGCAGAGGGAGATGCCATGCTCTCCCACCCTCCCCAACAAAGCAGAAATGTGCTGATGCAGAAAAAGCCGATCGGCATCTCATTCCCGCTGGGCGATGCCGGCTGAAGGGATGGAGTAACAGCATTAAAAAGGAGCTGCTGTCAATAAATTCTTGGCGTTGGGGAGTCAGTGTTAAGGTTGACCTTTGTAAAGCTGGCGGGGCTCTCCGGAGGCGAAGCGGAGTGGCTGCCGGTGGGGACAGAGTGATGCCATTTCCAGCGACGGATGGCAGCTCTGGGGATAAACATGCTGCTCCCCACTTTCCCATATCTGGCAGGTGACCTGGAATTCATGTTTGGGAAGGGGTTTTGAGGTGACAGACAGACGCTGAACGCCTGCAAAGCAACCCCTTTCCAAGTGTGAGTGCTGTGTTCCCCCCCCAATATTGAATTTCCTGTTGTCCCTTAAGATATCCCGACCAGCTGGTCCCCAGGAGCAGCCATCCTGGAATGCCTCCTTCCTCTTCCAAGGCCGAGATGCTGCCACCATCTTCTCCGAAGACACCGCTCTGACAATTGAGTTTTATCCATATAAAGCCGGTGAGTCTCGGGCTCCGCCAGGGATGCCACTTTGTCATCCCAGGTTTGGCTGCCGTGCCCTCATCCAGATGTTCTCATCCCTTCCAGTGTGGGATGCTCCAGGCACCCTCATTCCTGTGGGATACTCAGTGCTGCCCCTCACCAGCCGTGTTTTCCAGGAGCTGGCGGCGAGCAGCAGTGGAATGCACGTGGAGGGCCTCGCCGTGGAGGTGAGAAAGGGACCGTGGGGTAACACTGGGCAGGGGGTGGTATCTACAGGTGATGGTGGGATGGTGGGATGATGGGATGGTGGGTTGAAAACCCCACCTCCGTGTCTGGGTGAGCAGCCTGGCAAACAAAACTCCCAAGCATCCCATGGGAAGCCGGGATCTCTGCTCCAAACCACAGCCCCACACCTCTGAACCACACATAGATGATGCCAAAGGCACTGAGAGCTCCAGTGGAAACCCAATTTGCCTCCCCAGGGCACCGACCTCCAAACTACAGCTGGAACCATCCCAACCGTGGGGCTCTGCCTGCAGCTCCTTCAATTTGAGGTGAGATGCTGGGGATGGAAAATCCCAAGGTGAGGAGGGATGGGGATGGGGAGGAGATGGCTCTTTAGAGCTGCCACCCTCTCTCCAAACCTTTCAGCTGGGCTGGATCTGGGTTTCATCCCTTTTGCATGTTGTCCCAAGGCTCTGGATCATGTCATCCGGCAGCTAGAAAAAGCAGCGTCGTTCTTGCCATCACACATCCATCGCTTTCCCAGGGATTTTGTCACGTGCTCGTATTCCTGGGAAATCCTGCCTGGAGACAGGCAGGATATTTGGGAGAGGCTGCTCAACATGTCAGAGTGGAGAAACGCCAGGCTGGTTAACCACGGTGACAAATGTCCAGCTGTCTTCCTTCAGCATTTGTGTTCCCCAGGGATGTCACAGCAGGGAGGGAATGCGGCTGCTTTTCCTGGGGAGGAGAAAACCCCGCCAGCCCTTGGCTCCAGGTCCTTGGGCAGGTTTGGATGCGTCCACGAGCCCAATCGATCTAATTACTGCAGCCACCAGCCTCTGCTCCCATCTGCAAACCAAAAATCCTCTCCGTAAAGTGAATTTGGGTCCGGTCTGGATGCTGCATCCCTGAGGAGCTGCGGCGGGCAGGGGCCGGCTGGTGGGGGGCTTTGGAGTGATTGCCCAGGGGGGTCAGCAAAAAGGGGTCTGCGTGTGATGAATTATTCACATGGGTGTCACTAAGTGCAGAATTAATCCTTTTGCTTCCAGCTGGCTGCTGCACTAAATTATCACTCGCAGTCATGCGGGAAAATGCTGCAGAATTCATTTAGCTGATTATTGTTTTGATCTGGGAGCTGTAATTTTTTTTCTCTCCTCTTCCTCAACCTCTCCCATTCCGCTGCTCGAGCCCTGCCTTCCCTAATGTATGTAAGAGCTGGGAGTGGAAACAAAAAGCGAGAAAGCCAGAGCAAGCCTTGGGCTCTGGATAATTCATCCGGCAGCAGCCCAGGCAGATGGACCTGGAGCGATGCAAATCAGTGAGAGAGTTCCTACCGAGCAGGGTGAGAGCATGTTCTGCTCCTTGTTTCTTGCCTGGAGGTCAGGATTTTCTTAGGAAAATGCTCCAGCTGGCTGGCTGTGATCCTCAGCACCCCAAAACCAGCAGGTAGGGGAGGTGTTGCCTCATCTGCAAGGGCAGAGACTCTCCCTCTTTGGGCAGCCCTGGGCTCCAAGAGATGCTTGAAGACTTGATTTCCAGCCTCTCAGCACATGGATTAGTCTTGAGCTTGGCTTTGGGACAGCAAGAAGGGGTGAAATGGGGTCCAGGTGGCACAGACAGCCATTACAGGACTTGGGTGAACCTGGTTATGCACTGGGCCTTTGTAACGGGAATGTCCCTGTGGTGTGAGGAGCCACAGAATCTCTGCCATGGTATTGCTGTCCATCCTCGGGGTACAAGGAGCTGCAGCATCCCTGTCCATCCTTCTCCATGATTTCTCACCCCACCTCTCTCCCTGCAGCTGATAGCAAAGCAGAACACTCACTGAGCTAGTCTCCTTTCCTTTCTTATTTTTCATTTATCCCAGAGAGCTAAAAGTGGATAACCCAGATTGGTTGGGCTCTTTATAACAAACAGCAGCTAAATAAACCCGAGGTGCCATCTGGTACCCGGCACACTCGGAGCCGGGTGTAAATCCCGGCTGTTCCGTGGCCTCTGTGGGGATTTCACTAACTCCTACCAGGGTTCTAGATGCCCAGAGCTTGGTTTCAGATGCTCACATCAACCCTCTGTGCTGGGAAAGTGTCCTCGGTGACAGGGTTTTCCGGGGATAAGAGGCTGCCTGCAAACTAAACTCATACCCTGTCTCAAAACCCTGCTACACTTGTAAAAGCCTCAGGGAAAGGGTTTAGAGCACCTGCTTTGTTAAAAGCCAAGAACCCCAACACCAGGAATGAGCAAACAGTGGTATTACCCCAGAGAAAGGGCAGTGCTGGGTTGCAGCCTCCTGGTAAAGGCAGTGAGACCCCCAGGTTTGCCCCCACCCAGCCCTGTTTCCCCCCATCTTCATCCCCTTGAGCTCCCCCTCTGGACCCCACAGGAGAACAAAAGACTTTGATCATCTCAGGGAGACAAAAAAATCAAAGACTGCAGCAAAACGCTGGTGCTTCAGCAAATTAACCTTTGGCATTCAAAAAAACACAGGTTTTCCAGGTTTTTTTCCTGGGAGGAAAGCCCGCAGCCAACTTCCTCCACCTTGGCACTGGCTTGGGGCTAAAGGCAGGATTCCTGTTTTCCCTTCACTCCAAATATTCCTTTTTCACCCCGAATTCAGTGTCTTGCCCAAAAGAGATGAGTTTGACCTCACAGTAGCCAGTGGTAAAGCCACATGTAGCATCAGAAGGATAAATTCCCAGGCGACTCTGAGCCTCATCCAAGGGCTGGAAAACACACACTGGAGGCATCTGTATTACTAAGGGATTTATTTATATCCCTGTTTAATAACCAGCCTCGTTTTACGCTTTGTTTTGGCACAACCCCACCTTGCTCATTAATTTGGCACTTGGGACCTTCAGGGTCACCTCAAGCCTCTGCCACCACTTTGCTGAGCGCCTATGGTCATGTCACCCGAGATGGGAGTCTGGGGACATGCAGGCACACGGTGACAGCCTCTGAAAAAAAAAAAAACAGTGAAAAGTTAATGCCAGGGTTTTTTTTGAGGCAAGGGGAAAAAAAAAAAATCAACAGGCTGGCTATTTCACTGCTTAAACAGCTTTAATTTATGTGATTGCTGCTGTTCCAAACTCGGAGCAGATCGGTGCCTGGCGTACATTGTCACAGCGCCGGGGTGTAAATTGTCACCGTGACAGCTTGGCCATCAAACCCCTTTTGGGCTGGCCAAAAGGAAAAGGGTTTACAATTGGCTGTGGAGTAGGGAATCGCCGTGTGTTTCCTGATATTTCAGCCTGGTTTGTACTCCTCGAGCACCGAATTGGGATTTTTCACGCTGGTGAAAACTTTGTTTTGGGGGAATCATAAAGTTGTGGAACGGTTTGGATTGGAAGAGACCTCAAAGATCATCCAGTTCCACCCTGTGCCATCACGGGCAGGGACACCTTCCACTAACCCAGGTTGCTCCAAGCTCTATCAAACATGGCCTTGAACACATCCAGGGATGGGGCAGCCACAGCTTCTCTGGGCAACCTGTGCCAGGGCCTCACCACCCTCACAGGGAAGAATTTCTTCCTGATGTATTTTTTTTCCCTGATAAAAATTATATTCGGCCCTTCCCTGCTGAGCATCCTTTCTCACTGAGCCATTGAGGCCCCCGAGGGCTTCTGGCACAGCCAAACTGCTGTTAGCTGCTGATTGGCACTTGCCAGTCAAACACATCCCCCATTCCTCTCATTGTATGGAGGATTACAAGAGGCGTAATCTCGGCCAGGAAGAGCCAAACCAAGCAGGGAATGTCTTTGTTAAGGGGAATGGGTTGGTTTTCGCCGCCGGTCCCGGGGGAGCGTTCAGGGCAGCGCTAATTGAATTAAGAGCACGTTCGCCCGGGCTCCGACGGGCCATGGTGGCCGCGGCCATCGCTCCGGAGCGGCGGCAGCAGCTGCTCGCCGGCCTCCGTAATTGCAGCCAGAGCCTAAACTGTTGCATTTTGCATGATGCTGCTCCCCCGGGAAGGGGGAGAGTGGTGGGGCGGGGGGCGGCTTCACCCGGCTTTGATGCTGGAGGAGCTCGGCTGAGGTCGGGGCCGGCGGCGGAATGAAAGGCGGCGGCTCGGGGGATGCTGCTGCTGATGGTGTTAATGAGGCAGCGGTGGGGAAGGGCACGGGGCGCCTCCGGACACCTCCTGATGCAGCGGGGGGGAGATGCGCCCGCCCTCGTTATCCGCACTAACGAGGCGAGGCCGGGCGCAGGCACGGAGGAAAACCCAGAGAGGGCCACTTTGCCGTTGCCCATGCCTGTGGCCAATTTGGAGAGGGCATCCAGGCTGATTGCTCAGCCGAGGGAGCCAGGAGAGCAGCTGGAAGGTGGGGAGCGAGGATTTTCTGGGTGGGTGCATGGATGCCATGCCTTGATGCACGAATCCCAGGGCCAAGGCAGGTCCTCATCACCCTGGGAGCCAGGACTGGGCAAAGCTCCCTGTCTGTGACCTTGCCATTCAGGTGGCAGCGAGGAGCTCATGGACTCCATCGTTTATTCCATTAGATCCTGCTTCCCCCTCTAACCGGATTAGAGGGGAGTCTATAAAAGCCAGGCTAGCGGGAGGAGAGCAGGACGCACAGAGCCGGGAGTGGGAAATGAGGGGCAGGGAAATCACATTACTGCTGCCAGCAGCGTCTGGCAGGGCTCTGGCAGGGGTTGCTGGTGTGCCGGAGGGGCCTTATCCGGCAGGCATCAAAGGTGGGGGTGGCAGCAGGTGGCAGAGTGGTTTGGAGCATCCCATTGCACCTGCAGGACCTGGATACCCACCTCCTGCCCACCTGAAGGCTGAGGACACGCATGGAGCTGCTGTTTCCACCACCACAGGCGCAGAATGGCCTCCTCTTCCTTTTCACCTTGTCACCTCAGGGATCCCCTCTCTGCCCAAAGCTCCCCTTGCGACTTCCTTTTGGCCGACCCACAGCTCTTCCCCATCATCCCAGTGGCATTCTGGGGATGTGGATGGGGGGAGAGGGGACATGCAGTGGATGCAGATCAGCCCAGATGCCCCCTCCTCGGCCCTGTCACCACAT